ACCTATGTTCAAAGGAGAAGTGTGCCAGAGCGGACTGCAAAGGGAATGGGGTTAGCAGTTCAGGAGCCTTGTAAATAAATAAAAATTAATGCAGCTATCCTATCTCCTAGAACTGGAAGGGACCTTGAAAGGTCACTGAGTCTAGCCCCCTGCCTTCACTAGCAGGACCAAGTACTGATTTTGCCCCAGATCCCTAAGTGGCCCCCTCAAGGCTTGAACTCACAACCCTGGGTTTAGCAGGCCAATGGTCAAACCACTGAGCTATCCCTCCCCCCCAGTGTGATGAATTAGGCTCAAAAGAAAGAAAAAGACTGAGACGGTGCCCTCTGTGGAAAGCTTAGTTCCCAAACACACACAAAGGCCCCGAGAGCACAAGAATGGGGATAACTGGAGGCCAGGGTAGCACGGGGGCAGGATTGGGGGGTTCTGTGACTAACGGGGGGTGGGGGGGAATTAAGTCTCCTACAAAGATACACTCCTGTTGCTGAGGGCAACACCGGAGTATAGCCCCGGATGCTCTGAGCCAGCAGGTCTGCATGAGAACGTTCTGCGTAATGAAGTGTGTGGGGGGAGGAGGGAGGGAAGGAAGGAAAAGACATTTGGTGATCAGAGGGTGGGGTTCAAATAGTCAAAAGGGCTTGGCAGGCATTTTGAAAGCTACTCAACGTGCAACAACGGGCCATATCCTTAGCTGGGGTCAATCAGCGTAGCCCTGTTGACATCAGTGGACTTATGCCCATTTTACACCAGTGGAGGATTTGGCCAACTAACAGCAATTAGTCAGTTACCAAAAAGGGCTAAAGGAGTCTTGTTCTTACCCAGAACTAGTTAATTCCATTCTGATTAACAGAATTGTGACTGCAATCACGCCAACAGAAATCCAGAGTCATTGCATCAGTATCGGTGGCGTTACTCCAGTTTTACCCCATGAAAATGGGATCAGAGCCTGGCTCCTGAACATATAATCCCGTCTTGTGCTTGGGAAGGAGATCCCAGGACACAGTCGGAGAGAAATCCGTGTCCAGCCCATTCAGTAGAGGATTCCTAGCCTCTCTCCTTGCACACGCTGACTGGGCAAGAGGAATAGTGCAGTTACTGAGAGAGGAAAAAGTTTCGTGACCAACCTAGCAAAAGAGGGAACAGAGAGAGAGCTGGGGCCCAGTTCAGCTAAGTAAGGAGAGAGAACGGTCCTAGGGTCTGGTCTAGCTCTGGAGCCGCGTCCTGTTAATGAGGAAAGGGCCCTCCTGCTGCTCAAGAAATGAAGACCATATTGGGGCCTGGTCCAGTCAGTGGAGGAAGGGGTTCTAAGGCTCACTTGGGCAATCAGAGATGGTTCTAATGTCCAACTGGGCCAACGCCGTATCATTGGACTTGTTACCACAATACCCAGGGTAAAAAGTTCCCCGAGTGGGCAGCGTTTCCAGACTGCTGCAGTGAGGAGGCAAGGGCAGGATAAATAGAAACCAAATGCAGGGCCAAATTCAGACCGGCTATGGGGGGTGCATCTCGACAGGTTTATGCCAGCTCTGCCTTTGGCCCAGAGGTTTCTTTCGTATACGAGAGCCGCACGAGATGGGGAAAGGCAAAGTTAACTTTCCAAAGATGATTACATTTCCATTTAACTTTATTCAAACTCCGCTGACCAGTTCTGAGTCATACAATGCAGCCCTTAGTCATCCAGCCCAGATTCTCTAGTCCAGTTCAAGCAGTTGCTCCAGCAGCATGTATTCCTTCTGCTCCATCTTGCCATGTGCTCTGCAAGCCGTGTCCTCAATCCTGTCCTGTCTGGTGCTGCAGAGTACAGCACAATCATCAGAAAGTTACACCTCACTCCCCTCTAGGCCATTACTTCTCACCTGTGTCATCCACCACCGGGAGACTCTCATAAGATTCGAAGTCAGTGATGCTCATGGGAGGTGGGTTAGCGTTGCTGGGCTTTGAAACGGAGAGATGTTCGAATTGGGGCAAGAAGCCAGATAGCCTAGGACTGCCCGGACACTCCTCCGGCTTGCACATGATACAATCCAGCAAGGAGCAGGCCTTTTCCTCCCAGAATTCACCAGTCTTCAGGTTCACGGTGACGTTTTCAGCCGAAACCACAAAGTGCCGGATTCGTGCCTGTTTGTGTATCTCGCACATGCAGACCCAGGGCTGCCAGTTGTTCCAGTGGAAAAGCTGATCCCCTGTGGAGAGTCAAATCAGATACAAGGGCAGGGAGGGTGGGAAACAGAGCAGTTTGGGGATAGGCAGAAGTGATAATAGGCTATGGAAGGGGGAGTGTTCTAAATGGCAGACGTTACTGGGAGAGCAGCAGTATGTTACCCGTAGGGTATGATCCTACACTTCTGGAATCCGTGGCAAAGCTCCCATTGACAGCAGCGGGGGCAGGACCATGCAGTAGGCTCAGAAGGGCAGTAGAGATCCCTAAGAACTTAGAACTGGGTAGTGGAAGAAAGAGACAAGAGGATTTTTAAACATGTAACCGAGAGAACGTCTTAATGCTGCAAATACACCCACATTGTGAGACACGCACACAGCTAATGGATTGGTTCTGGCATGTTGACCACTACTTCTTATACTGAAACAGGATTGAATAAGGTTGTATGAAAAAGGCCAGCGAACTTTGCGATGGCAAAAAATGGTAAAAGGCAAAAGCCCTGTAGATGGAAAACTTCCATCCACAAATTGGACAATAAAACATTCGCCCACTCATCCGAGCCACTGTGCCTCCTCTCTGATGCGGAGTCACCATGTCGAGGCGGGGGAGGGCCCTTGGCCTCTCTGCTGAGTCTACCAGCAAAGAGTTTAACTGGGATGGTCATCTTGGGGAGGTTATCACGCCTCCTTCAGGAACTGGTCTGAGGCCCACCGACTTGTTTCATGAAGTCACCAAAGAGCCATGAGATAACAGCTTTCACCATGACCAACCCGGGCTATATTCCAGCTAATGATCTAGATATCAGAGACTTTGTAGCCAGTTACTAATCCCCAGTGCCATACAGGCCACGACTAGAACATCAGTTGGACGCTAAAGGTCGAACAAAATCATCTTCTGCCTGACTTTGCTAGAGGGTGTAAGCTCTTTGAGACAGGGAATGTTCTGTTTTTGTACAGTGGTCCATGTACAGGGTTTGTAGGCACCACCACCATTCAAATAATAATAGTAACAATTACCTACAGTCTGCTGTATACTGGCACCACGAACACACCCCAGCAACCACAGCTCAGAGCTCAGGAACAGCAACATACGTAGTCCTTCTTCCATGTACGTTAGAGTAGGACAAGTACTCTGGCTGGATCACACAATCCACGATGCACAGAGTCCACCTGGAATTGCTGGAACCTAGCAGGGGATATTTACTTGCTCCCATAGCAACATCACAAAAGCCTGCCCAATAGCGGTCATTCTATAGAACGCACGCGCCAGTCAACGTCTTCGGAACTTCCTGGGCTTGGCTTCGTTTCAATTCAGCAGAGCCTGGCTCTTTATGTACCTGGGAAGATGGTCAAGTGTAGACTGGAAAGCTGGTTTCCTTTTCATGGCTTCCAGTATGGGATGCTACTCATTTTCTGGCTGACATGTAGCACGACACTACCAAAATCCCCTGTCCTCCCAGGCCTTACTGGTTCCCATATGGAGCCAAAGGGTTCACAGCCCACCTTTTTAGAAAGGCAGTATGGCCTGTAGGAATGAGCACAGTCCTGGGAGCCAGGAGACCCGAGTTGTAATCCTGGTTCTGCCACTGATACGCTGTGTGGCCTTGAGCAAGTTACTTAACCTGCCTGGGTTTCAACTTTCCCCATTAGTAATATGGGGATAACCTATGTGGATGGGGGTGTAACAGCAGCAGGTTGTAGCCACGGTGGTGCGTAGAATGGAGCAGTGGGGGTATAACACTCTATATAAATGCTGTGCCTTATTCCAGGGAAGAACTGGGAAAGGGTTTATGATTTGAGGGCTTAGTGGTGAAAACGGTTTTAAGGAGTCCTGCCTTAAGATACAAGTTTGCACAAAGAAGTTTTACTGCTGTATTTTGAATTAGTTTGAGGGGTATGTCTAGTTTCTGTGCCCCCAAAATGGAAAGAACTTTACAAATTCCATGTACTTTCCATCATATTTGATATACTGTTTGTTGTACCTTTTTCGCACTGCATTCAGATTAAGTCAAAGAAACTAAAGTTGCGCTTTCCATTTATAGTCAGTTTCATTTTCTATTTCTCATCCAGTCACCCAACCCAACCATGTCTAAACTTCCCACACTAAAGAGGAACGCTTAATTTAAAACAAACTTGCTTTCAATTAAATATTAAAATTATTCCATTCATAGTCTTGTAAAATTAATTCCTGCTTTAAAAAAAAAAAATTCACAACCTACATTTTGCACCTGTAGTAAGCTCTGTAACACTAATAGACAATGAGCCAAACTCATCCCTGGGGTAAGCCCATAGAAGTCAATTGTGTTACACGCTATGGATAGGTTTGGACCAAGGTTTCTAAATACTCTTATGAGTAAGGCTCTTTGTCGGTCACGGAAGTCACGGATTCCGTGACCTCCATGATTTCTGCAGTGGCCAGTGTGGCTGACCCCAGGGCCGCCTAAGCAACTGGCTCCGGGACCAGCTGCTCGGGTGGCCCTGCAGCCAGCCACACCAACTGCAGCTGGAGCTGGCCCTGGGGACCGCCCAAGCAACAGTTCGTGGGGTGGCTCGAGCAGCAGCTGCTCCGGAGGCCCCCTGCAGCAGCAGCCCCTCAGGATGTCCTCCACAGTAACAGCCCCCCCAAGATTGAGCCAGGAGTATTTATCGTATAAGTCATAGCTAGGTCACGGGCACGAATTTTTTTGTTTATTTCCGTGACCTGTCTACTATAAATATATACTATATTCTAGTATACGCTATACTGACTATACTAAAAATACCCGTAAGTAAATCGTAGTCTTACTTATGAGTTAATTCTACAATCCATAGAATTCCTATGATAGAACTCTACATTCCAGGTGTTATACTAGAAAATATAAAACTCCTTTTTTATTGTTTCCTAAAGGGAAACTAAAACCACACCACATTACACACCTCAAACAAACTCTCCCACATTATTTCAATGCAATTAAAAACCCCCATGAGCAGGTCTTCAAAATGCCTTCCCACCAGCCTTTTTACAATCAGAGGTAAACATGACATCAGAATGTTGGAAGGCATTTTGTGGCTTTGTGATTCATAAAACACCTCTTTCTTTGACAATGGTTTCTCCCCCCGAGAGATCTATGCTGAACATGATCTACCAAATCCTCTGTCCAAAGATAATGCACAAAAACAAACACGTTTTTCTTATTGGAACTAAAGCACCGTCACTCTTCTTTAATGTAAGAATTAATCATGTTCCCAAATTCCTGGAAGCATGAAATTGAGTATCTTTGCATACCTCATGCTGCAGCTCACAGTCCCAACTTCTTGTCCAGAGAGTCAGAATTCTTGGTTTGATGAGTCAACCGTATCACTTTTATGAGTTGGGCGGATGAACGCTCTGTACGTGTCTATTGCAATACACCCAATGGCTGTTCTATTACAGGGAACAGGACTAGTCATCCTGTTTTCTCAAACCTACCAGATGGTCTCTTATAGCAACTGACCACTTACACTTAGTTTACATCCCTGGATGGGAAAGCACAACTGCGGTGATTGTATGTACAAAGGGCCGGTTAGAGGCCAAAACTGGCCAACTGCAAGCAATTTCTGCCATTGTCTAATGGCAGCTTGCACAATTCCAACACACACGTGCATGCGGATTTTTGCGAGGGCGTTTGCACTTGCAGGGCTCGGAAAAAATCCCTCCTCTAAAGGTTCATTTTTAGGCAAACACCATCATTTTTACTCACTCCCAGTATCCCCCATGGGCCCTGGGTAATCAGGTCAGCAGCTCATACGGTTGAGACGGTAGGACTTTAATTAGGAGTTGCTCTGTAGCATAGTGGCTTGTCTGGAGCTCTCTGCCGAGAAGCATTACTAAGTCTGAAATGAGCTGAGCGGGACAGGTTTAGGAGCTGGTCCGTTCTGGTTCCTCCGGACATTCGGGACACCAAGGTCTAGAACCCAAACAAAGACTCCATCAACCTACAAAACCAAAACTCCCACTCCCCCATCTCGTCACAGCACAGAGAGCCTTACGACTCACTTTTGGCTCAGGGCCTTGTCTCCCAGCTCCATTAACCCTTTCACTGCCGCACAGCGGCAGCATCGTTCCCTGGAAGGGCAGACATCCCATTGGAAGGTGGATGCTTCCTAGCTTCATACCCAATGGGGCAAGTTGGGAGACTGACCCTGATGCGCTCTAGGTCTCTTGCTTAGCTGTCAGTGAATTATCATCCTGGGCCCCTGAAAACAGGGCAAGTGCAACTCAGAATAGCCTGTCCTTACCAGGTGAGAATGGTCAGTGGGTTTTTGTTGCAGTGAAGTTCGCAGATCCAAACTGCTAAGCGTGGGGCTGCTGGAAGGGACGACGTTCTCCCAACCGGCCAGGCAGTGCTGCGGGGAGAGGTCTATCTGTGAATGCCTTCTCTGGTAGTGTACGTGCCCCCAGAAAAGCAACAGCCCAGTCTCTCCAAAAGGGGGCTCCGAGAGACGGTTGAGTTCATTTCTTTAAGAGCTTTGTATGGTCACAAAGGGGCACCGATGAGAACTTCCCAGAGGCTCTAAGGTGCAAAGCTACCTCACTTCCCCCATGTGTCCCCTTCACTGGCTTCCAGCCATTTCCAAAAGCAGTTTAAAAAAAAAATGGATCAAAACAATTGGCCTTTTAAAATTTTAACTAAATACATGTTTTCTTTTCAAAAATTAAAGCTAATTAAATTTGAAAGTATGACAAATTTATGTTTAGGCCTAACCTTACTATACACTATTAAAATCTTTTACATTAAATACAAGTAATACAATTCAAGCAGTACATGTTGGCTGCTGAAATTTTAAAGAAAGTCAAAGCCCTGAACTGGTGGAAGTTTCTGGCTAAGCGCTTGGAGCCAGAATTTGTTGAAACGGTAAACTAGCTTTTAACCGCAGTAGCCTACTCTGCAGGTGGAGAGAGAATTTTCTTCAGATCAGTTTATTCAATTAGTTCAGTTCAACGTTGAAAAACTCACTAGGAGTTGGAAAAGCAGGCAAGTTTTTCCCCCACCCTCTTTTCCAATCTGTGGATAAAAATTAGGTGTGAGAGGATGAAATCTACGAGTTCTAAAATCTTGAAGGATATGGGGACCAGAAACAATCTGTTGAATTCATTAGTACAGATAGTGCTTCCTTTGTTTAATAAACCAGTTAGTTTTAAACACAAAACATTTTGATGACCTCACTTTGTGTTTTCTTGTGTATCCAGCACACTTACAGCAGTTTTATTTAACTAATTAAAAAACAAACAAACAAACAAAAAACACCCCACCCTTTAAAATGCTGGTTTGGGTCATTTTTAATTGTATTTCAACTTCCATCCAAATGCAGCTTGTGACACAAAACACAAGAAGAAATGAATCATTCTCTAACATAATAAAACGTAATAAAATACATCATTTTCTAACAATAAAACAGTTATAAAAGTTAAGAATCTGAATAAATGAATGTTAAGCTATAGAATTTCTTAAATAAATGCGTATAAATATAGCGTATCCTCCTGGTTTAGCAAAAAGAAGTACCAACCAATCACAACCAACTTTTCTGTACGAAAATAAGTAAAAAGTACAAATGCAAACAAAATTAAAATTGATTATTTAAATCCAGGTTTTCTATTTGCTGTTTGAAATCAAACTTAAAACCAATGATTGTCAAATCACATGTGGTTGCAATGACAGACAAGATGGGTGAGATAACACCTCACCCACCTTATCTCTCTATTAATCTGGGACTCTCACAGCTACACTGCATATAACACATAATAACACGTAGTTGCAAGATTTGTCACATCAGCTTCCTGAACATTCTGAACTCAATGCACTGGGCCTCCATTTACCCACTCAGCTCCTCCAGACACAATTTTGGCTGGAGCTGTGCAAATAACTGGTTGCCCTCCAAGAACTACTTTTCAAGTTTTTCAGTGAATCAACAAGCCAAAAGAATATTTGTTTCGGGTCGAAGTAAACATTTTGCTTGACCCAAAACATAACATTTTGTTCCAATTTCAAAAGCATTTGTTTTCTTTTTTTAAATCAAATGGAAGGAAATTTCAAATCAAAAAGTTGTTTTCGAAGTGGAAAAAAAAAATCAAAATGTTTTCTTTGGAAATTGTCAAAACTAAATGTTTCTATTTTCCTGGAAATAGATATTTTATAGGTTGTTGGGTTTTTTGACATAAACAATTTGGCGAAATGGACACGAATTCACAAAATATTTCAGTCAACTTAAATCTGCAGTTTTCAAGGACAAAAGTTTCAAGGCCAGATCCGTCTCTCTGGAGCTCTTTGCTCTCCAAGCCACTGAGGGTACGTCTACATTGCAACTAGACACCCGTGGCTGGCCTGTGCCAGCCAACTTGGGCTCGTGCTCGCAGGGCTGTTTCACTGTGGTGTTGACTTCGGGGCTTGGGCCCGGGCTGTAGGATTTTGCAGGGTGGGAGGGTCCTAGAGCTTGGGCTCCAGCCTGAGCCCCGAAGTCTACACAGCAGTGAAACAACCTGGGAGCCCGAGTCAGCTGGCATGGGCCAGCCGCGGGTTTTTCTTTTGCTGTGTAGACATACACCTTGTCTTTATAAATACCTGCCTTCTTTGCTTTGGGGCTTTGGCCCACACTCTACTCATTCATCCTGCTTGTCTCCTTTTACCCCACGCTGCTGTTCACTGGATTTTACCAGCAAAACTGTTTATTTGCAGTTGCGAGCAGTAAAGACAACAGCCTGATTTTCTCTCTCTGCTGCATTCTTTTGCCCTGTCTGTCTGCGGGAGAGCCACTCAACCCAACTCTGCAGGCATTTGCTCTCAGTGTATAGCATTCGGACACACGCAGTGTACGCAGAGGGTTGTATAAATTATATTGTGTTACAGATGGGCGTGAGCGGCAGAGTTTGCACCTAGGTTTGGCTCTTCCTGGCTGTCACAATGATTGGACCAGTCTCAAAGCCTCGCTCTGAACTTCCCCACAGTTTAGGGGTGTTCAGCTCTGGAATCTTAGCGGAGACCCATCCCTGGCATTAACAAATCAAGGCTCTTGGTTCTCTTCTTTTCCTAACATGCTGCTATGGCCATTCACCTGGTGATGATGCAGCCACCTGCATAACCGTCAAAGGGGAAGGTGGAAACTTACCGAGGGTAAAGCCAGATCGTCTGCTGGTTCAAAGCTCTTCCTGCGATGGATTTTGTACTTATAGGCAGGCAGGAGGGTGGACCTGGGAATGCTGACCCTGCAGCCAAACAGAGGAAGTAACTGCGCAGGTCCTCCAGAAGAGACATCACAGTGCAGAAGGCATCTGCACTCTTCCTGCCGCACCTGGAGTCTTAAGGCCTCATCCAAAGCCTACTGAAGTCAATGAGCTCTGGATAAGGTCCTTAGGGACTTGTGTGTAGACCCAGACTCTGGACTAAATTCAACCCCAAGGTAAGAGGGTACATCTCCCATTGACTTCATATGGGAGCTGCTCCTGCTTACGTCATAGCTGAATTTGGCCCTTTTGCATTTCAAAGCCCAGAGCTCCCTCTCCCCTAAGACAGCAACTTTGTAAGGAGGCATCTTAAAGAGACCTCCTCCCCTATGCCTAGCTTGCTCTCTGTCTACCTTGATGGCTTCCCGTGACACTTGAGCTACTAGCACTGTGCAGACCTGACGTAGGCTGGTTCCTCCAGCGTCTCCGGAGGCCGTCGGGCTCTCGGGGTCTTACACATGGGGCAGGCAGACTGGGAATCCACAGGGACTGTAAACAGGCGCCTGTTTAATCGATAGCAATAAACACCTGCCATGCAGAGGAGAGATCGTTACTTCATTCATAGCCTGTGGCACTCTTCTTCCCCAATGCACCGTACACACCACACAGAACCAACCCCCGCTGTTCTCCCAAAGTACTTTTTACACGGTAATTTCCCTCCCATTCAACTGTTTCCTGAAAACAGATGCAGCTTTAACTGAACTTCCTCAACTTAAAGCACGTAAGTCAGTCAGGTCAATTACAGAGAACCCTGGAGAAACAGAGATGACACGAAAGAGAATCAACCCAGGGACTCCTGCCTCTTTGGAGTGGGAAGTGGGGGCTGGAGAGGGGCTGAACTGTGAATTCTTCCTACGCCCCTTCTAAGAGGCTTAAGGCCGGGGTTTTCCAAAAAGAAAGCCACAGAAGGCAGCTGCCCATGCCTGGAAACTAGATTTGGAAGGCATCTCATCTTACACTGATGGGAACTGGAAACCAAATCTGCTTCTTGTTCAGGAGCCAAGTAATCCGGTGCCTCTGGCCTAAGGAAACAAAGATGCAGTCACAGCTGTGCACTCTGGAGACCGCGATGGGAACAATGCAATATCCTCTGAGGGGGTCTCGTGCTGTCCAGACCTCCCTTTAGACTGGCTTGGTGGGGAAAGCACTCGTCACACTTACACCAAGAAACCGAAGGCCTATTCGCAGAGCAAATGCCCATCTCTGGGCAGAGGACAGACCTGCTGCATTACAATATGCAGTAAAAGCTGTGTTATCCGGCACTTTACCAAGCGGAAAGCTCTAGAAACTGGCATTTCTGATCTCCGTTAAAAGTCCGGTTGATGAGGAGCCGGCAGGCTCCCTACCTGGCTCTGTGTGGCTCCCTAGAAGCGGCGACATGTCCCTGCTGCTCTTAGACAGAAGAATGGCCATGGGGGCTCCGTGTGCTGCCCCCGTCCTGTGCGCTGGGTCCGCAGCTCCCATTGGCCAGGAACCGCAGCCAGTGGGAACTCCGGGGGCGGCGCCTTCAGGCAGAGGCAGCATGCAGAGCCGCCTGGCTGCGCCTCCGCTTAGGAGCAGCAGGGACATGTCGCTGCTTGCTGGGAGCCGCCCGAGGTGAGTGCTGCCTGGATCCGGCACCCCGCACCCCCTCCTGCACCCCAACG